AGGAGGCATGTTGGTGCAGAAGCTCAGGACGGGAAACCTGCAGTCTGAGCGAGGCCGCTACGACGGCACCATGGTCTACGCCCAGCACAAAGTAAGACCGGAGCTCCAGCCCGCCGTCAGTCTGCTCAGACAGGAAATAGTCACAAATGATGGACGGTCAGGCTTTAAAGCCCGTCAGCGGTCCGAGCTGGTCAGGAACCGGATCAAAAAAAAAAAAGCATGATTAGATTTGTGGGAAATGTGCATCATGGTCACATTAGAATGCTTCAATTTACAGCATGAGCTCCTATCAATAATTAAAACCAATCAAATAGTAAAATAATTTGTTTTCGTAGGGATTTACAGTTTTTCTGTAGCTGGTGTTTTATTGTTTAGTGAGTAAGATTATTATTTGAACAATTTCAGCTGATAATTACATTCAATATAGAAAAGTCACGCTGTAGAGGAATTTAAATCAGGAATTTAAATCAGTTTTGAATATTGATTCCAGCTCTGCGGATGTCCTGCTGGATTCACCTCTCGGGGCACAAACTAGTCGTTGAGCTTTATTCACACTGAATGTACACATCGGTTTTGTTTTATTTGCTCCACTGTCGAAGGTGAAAAGTTCATCCTTACTTTTTGACTGTTCATAAGTATGTGGATAATGAATATGTTGTCCTCAGAATAATAAATAGATTATTAAAGACAGGAACTGTCTCGTGTGTTGATCGCAGAATTAATCAGAACACTGGAAACATTTAAACAACCTTTATTAAACACAACTTTACAAATTAGCTCATTATAAACAACAAAAGCTTTAAAACCCAGTGAAGAGTAACCGAGTACATTTATTTAAGTACTGTTTTCATGTACAGTTATTATTTCTGTGTCATGCGACACTAGACTTTCCCTCCTCTGCATTTCAGAGGGAAGCTTTGTGCTCCACTTATTATTTATCTGACAGCTGTAGTTACCCCGAAGCCCAACATTTTACACAATAGATAATAAAACAAGCTTTTAAATTACAACACATGGGTAAAGATCCAACTTTTTAGCTTCTTAAGTTCACATTTCAGATGTCTGTGACTTATCAGCTCGAACAAGTAGTGATTTTTTTCCCCTCGATTCATTTTGATAAATGTTGAAATGATCCAGCAAAAACGATCCAAAACCTAAAAACAGAACTTTTAGTTTTTCTTCTTTTCTGTCCTATTAATCATGTTTGGAGCCTTCAGCTTTATAAAAAACAGTAAAAAACATCAAGTAGCTCAAACCTGCAGCAGCTGCAACCTCCTGCTGATGCTTCACCGTTAATTATCTAATGAGGAACCAACCCAGTGTTTTTACTCTTATACGATAATACTTCTATTCAGGTACTTTCATGCCGAAGCTTTACTTGTAACTGAGTATTTTGACATTTTTGTGTCTCTACTTTTACTTAAGGGTCTAAATGAGGGCTTCAGTGCCAAAGCGGGCCAAACCACAAAAGATCCAAAGTGTTTATGGTCGACTAGTTGGTGGCGAAGTGGTCCGACCTACAGCCCACTAGTAATGTCACGGTGCCACTTTGAAGTTTGGCCCGTGATGGTTTTGGCATGAAAGTTTAGTGGCAAACCGGGCCGAGCCACAGGAGTCGCTGACCGTTACATCGCAGGTAGTGTTTGTGATTCAAGATGGCGGACAGCGTGACTTCAAGCTCTGTTTAAAGTCGTAGGTACGTGAAGGTAAAATAAAAACCGCCACCAAGCATCTGTTTGTGCCCCGTGGTCCTCAGAAGCATCTCCAGCTCCTTATGACGTAAACTCCTCAATGCTGTTTAGCAAGACAAACCTGGAATCTTTTTATTTCCTCATGAAGTTTAGAAAATGTGGTACGGCCCGCTTTGACACACAGCGAAAGGAAAGATTAAAACTGAAATAAGTCATCACAGAGCAGCTGCTTCTATCTCTGGACAGTGTTGGAACATCTCTGGATGCATTTAGTGGCTCCTCTAAAAACCTGGATTCTTTTTAGCAACACAACTTTTTGGTGGTTTGGCCCACTTTGGCGCGAACCCCTTCAAATACGTCAGAGATGTGTTGACAGTGTGTGTGTGTGTGTGTGTGTGTGTGTGTTCCAGAGGCAGCAGGTGGTGATGACAGAACAGCTGGCCAAGACTCACACGAGCATCCACTTCTCCGTCATGCATCCAGGTTGGGTGGACACCCCAGGTAACGCCCGCCTACGCAAAAAATGTCGTTGTGGTCAAAAGGTCTGACGTAGATTAATTGGCACGTTTACCCGAGCCGGGTTTCCCGTCTCTGTCTGTCATGTGTCCCAGCCGTGGCCAACGCCATGCCAGACTTCCATCAGTCTATGAAGGAGAGCCTGCGGACCCCGGAGCAGGGAGCCGACACGGTGGTGTGGCTGGCCGTCTCCGAGGCCGCCGCCGCAAACGCCAGCGGACGCTTCTATCAGGGTAATGAATTAGAACACACGCTCATCTACCTGCTTATCAGTTTTAGAAAGGTTTGGTGCAATTTGAATCCCCCAAAAAGTGGAGAAAAAAAACCAAACTGTGCTTGAACTAAAGAGTGCTTGAATTCTGTGTTTGTTAGCTGAGGGGTGTGAGTGTGTGTGTGAGGGTTTGGCTGGTTTCCATTGCAGCTGGAGTGGGCTGCTTCTGGTGCCAGATACTGCCAGAGAGTACAGTGGCTCTATGAACACACACACAATGTCCTCAGTGGCCTTGAAGAGGGAGGTTGTAGTCTAATAGGAAAAGCACACTTCAACACAAACACACCGCATTCATGTTTCTGTGATGCAACACGAGGCGTTCATGTCTGCCGTCCTCGTTTGTTTTTATCATTATTTGGGGCAAAGCTTCCATCTTGTTCCATATCTGAGGTCTCATGCAGAACACCAGTCAAGCTGCCTGCCTGGCCGTCCTCCACGGCTTTGTCTCAGCTCAACGCCGACTTGGCCAAACGGCTGCAGTTGCCAGAATCATAGCAGCTGTCAGCGATGGAATATTTCCTATTAGGGCGGCGGAAACAGACTTTGATTTGGATTACAGCTTTCATGTGCAACTCAGCAGCTTGTTGACTCGTGTTGTGTGAATCCAGGAAACACAGTTTGAAGGAAAATGTTCGATATTGAAATGATTCCTGAAACGCTGCTGTTGTGATGATTAGACCTGCAACGGTTAATGACTTCATTTATTAAACAAATAAGCTAATCGGCAAACTAATTAGATCAATTAAGGAGCTTTTGAAAAAGAAAAAAGCCTAATCTTGTATCTGGTTAACTCTTTGTGTTGTAGACAAAATAAGACATTTGGGTACAATTATTATTTCTGACATAAACTAAACATCATCCTTCTCTCTCGCTACGAGTTCATGGTGCTAAAAACATACACGCTGCATATTGTTTAGTTAGTAGGAATTGTGTCATTGTTGACCATGAAAAAGTGAAAAAAGTGAGCTCGCCCAGGAGCCACGGCCGACTTCTGATCCTTCACACGTGTGATGCTTGTAGCTGCGCGCCGCCTCCCACCAGTGGGACTTGTTGCATTCGTGCATTGTGCTGCACAAGTCTGTTCGCTCCTTCAGTCACCAGCTTCAGACGCGAGCACCGGCGCCGTCGCCACAGTAACTGAGGAGCTCATCAGGTCACGAAGCTTTAGGGAAAATAATTAAATGAACAAATTATTTTCCATTGGCTAATCAATCCATCTACATTCTGTCGCTTATCCGACTTCAGGGCACATCAATTTAATTAACTGTGGAATTTAAAATGACACCTGTGACTGAGTTAGAGGCTTCAGCAGTTTAGACGAGAGAGACTGTGGAGACAGCAACTGTTCTTCAGGCTTTACATGAAAGTGGCAAAGAGAAAGACAACAATATGGTCACTGTGTTCCAGCAGCCATTCAGCCAGATCAGGGCTCACAGAACACAGCATCAACACACAGCTCCTGTAAGTACAAACCTTGTTTGTGTGCAGACCGGAAGATGGTGTCCACCCACCTGCCGCTGGCCTGGACCCACAGCTCCTCTCTGGAGGAGCAGAAGTTAATGTCACTACTGGAGGACTTGGCCAAGACGTTCCAGCCACACTGAGTCCGCAGCCAACTGGGCACAGGTACACCACCGACACTAACGCCACCAGTTCGTACTGACCGAGGCTGGGCCCAGTGGTTCCTCACCGCGCTGCCCCAGCAGAGGGAGGGGAACAGATCTGTTTAATGTGAAGTATCTGGAGTGGTAACACCGTCTGTGATCGCTGGCTTGAAGTGGAACAAATAAGAAGACGTTTCTGTGAGTGCTAAGATGTGTTTTGGGAAACCCAGCCTTCCGATGACAGATTAAAGCCGCCTCTCCTTGAGACATTAATGACGTTCGTAATGCTTTTTTTTTAGCCATTTATATGATAACAACTTTTATCATTTATGAGCTTAACTGTCTAAGGACTAAACATGTCATTGTATGAGTGTTTGACAGTGATGCTGCCGTTCAGATGGATCGCTGATGGAGAGAACGCTCGTAAACCACACACACACACACACACACACACACACACACACAACCCAGTCTGTCTTTGTGACTTAATTACCGTTGTCAATCAGATGGGAATCTGATGTGGCCAGAGTCACTCACACACCAGCTCTGGGTTCTATGTCATGCTTGTGTTTTAATGACTTACAGATGTGCCAGGTGATGTGCGTTTAGTCGTGGTGTCAGTAACTTGTCTATCTGTTGTATTGTAGCGTAGCGTAGCGTAGTGACTGTACTGTACAGGTTGAACCCAGACTGGAGACGCAGCGTTCTCTCCCTCAGCCTTGAACACAACACAGCAGCACCACTTGACATGTGCAGTGTAATCTATACATTCATGACTTGGTGATATCTGCCCAGCACCTTTACCTTCACTGACTGTGACTCTGGCTTGAGTTGATCTTGTAAACGCATGCTTTAATAAAGACACTTACTGATGCTTTTGTGTCTTGCTGTGCAGCTACGATTATTCAGGAAACAAAAAAAACGTAGAAGTCAAATAAACATATCAAATATCTTTATTAAGCATCATAGTCCTGCCTGTGCTCTGGTCTGAGGGCACAGGGAGACTCCAGTCAGCACTGTACTGTCAACAGAAGTCTTTAAAAATACAGTTATTTGGAGAGATACATGAACAACATCCCCGTCTTTTACAAGCAGTTTTGAGGAGAAAAATTCACACAGAAATCAAATTGCATTTTGAGATTACAGGCCATGGTGTTGTGGAAAATGAGTTTTCAGTGTTTTCATGTGGCCAACGCGACCGCCACCCATTCTAGTCTCTGTCGAACTAAAGATGACAAAAAAAAAACTAAAGGCCTCCTATAACTGCTCCATCTGGTGAAAGAAACGGAGATAAACCATTTACAACGCGACAAAAATCCATCGGTTCCTTCCTGCGGCTGGCAGGCAATCTGAAGATCTATTTCATGAGCTATTTCTGCAAACAGCGCATCCTGCCATCTATCATACCTTTAACATCTCGTCCATCTGCTGCGCCTGCTCCAAGGACGTGATAAGAAGTAATGACTGGAAGAAGCTTCAATGCCCAGTTAGCTGAAACAGAAAAGGAGAGCTCTGGCTCCTGATTGTACGGTAGCATCGCCATAAACCCTGTAGATCCCTGATGACGCATCGTGACACCAGTTCTTATAATACTTGGGGTCGGACTGACATGTCAGTGTTGGCTGCTTGTCTAATATAACACAAGTCCGGATACAATTTAAGTCTTGAGAGTATTTCAAAGCTGCACTAATCTATTTTATTAATCAAGTGACTGTAATTTACTTGTAACGGCAAACCCACAGAGAATCATCACCTGACTCTGAAGTTCCTCTAAGAAGCAATTTACGCCTTAAAGCTCATTGTTTTGGTTTTTCTTCAACAGAAAGTGCTGAAAAAACCCACAGAACTCCACCTGCCCAGCAAAACATGGCCGACCACAACATATTCAAGCATTTAGCCTCCAAATAACCGGATAATTCACTGTTTTTAAGTATGTTTGTCACAAGAATCTTGTGTCAGGCTGTTTCCATCTCAATCCAGTGTCAGCAACGGCCCAAAAAACAAAACTAAATAATCAGACAATGCAGCGTTTTCATCTTGTAGTAACTTGAAGTACTTAAAGCTGCACCAATCGATGTTTTTATTCCAACAAAAGACGGCGCAGCTGTGTGTAGCTTCTTTATTATACATTCAACACAACTTTACAAAGCCAGTTTGGCTGCATGCAGGTGTCAAAATAAAACCAATTAATGCAGCTTTAATATTGTACTTTTTCATTTTCTATTATTTTTACGTGTATAAATTTAAGGCATATTTCATCCCAGAGCTTAGTGTCCACTATGGAGGGAAAAAGCCGTTTCCAGAGGCTTTTACACGCCGACACAAATCTAGTCTCGGAGACAAATGTAGGAAAAAAAAAACTATTTTAATCTTCAAAAAATAATGAACACTACTGGCTCCTGACCAGTTCAGTTAGTGTCAGCTTTCAGTCTAACCCCAAGTATCTACACATCACTGATTAAGATCCTGATGATGGAAAGCAATCGCCGCTTCATGACAAGCACTCGGTCAACCAATCAGCCTCCACCGATGTCAGCGAGTAAAACCCGACGCTGCAGTTCACCTCAACGTCTCTGAGTTCACATGTGCTTCATAAAAGAGTGTTTAATATGTTCTAGTTTGTTTCTATAAGGAAAAAAAAAAAAAGACTACTGGATGGGCACAAAGAAAAGTAAACAACCATTTACAGTGATAGATAAATACTTTACTACAAATATAAATATACACTACATGATCAAAAAACTGGAATGTGACTACATTTTGAAATCAGAAACATTATAATGCTCATTGTTCCACTTACAATAAGGCAAGCGTTAGTCTAATGTTAGATATTAGCCGCTATTTACAAGGACGCTACATGGAATACAGCCGCTATCTCTCTCACGTCTGAACTTTACAAAAACGTTTCGTTAGATTCAAAAGACAGAGACCACAAGTTGTGCAATTCAGTGCAGTGCTGAGAGCGTAATGAGACAGATGTGTGTGGAGGTGGAGGAGGGGTTGGGCGGGACGACTGAGGACAGAAAGTGAAAAAGAAAAAAAAAAAGGTTGAAGAAAGGAGACGCAAACGAGACATCCAGAGCTTGTTCACGAGATGAGTGCTTGAGAGTAAATGAACATGAGTGAACAGTCGTAAGCGCTGACAAACCACTAAAAAGGCTTTGTGAGCGTGTCCTTCTCTCTTTAAGGCTTTTGAAGGAACACAGGCAGCCCTGATCTGACCTCGGATTGAGCTGGAGACGGTTCAACACGCCAACGTTTACTGCTACATTTAGTTCAGAGTACCGGTCCAGTACCTCGGGGCCTTTCCGGTGGCACGAAACCCAATTCTGCACCAAAAAAACTTGTGATATTGATCTACGTTTTCTAGAGAGAGTCACACCTGTACGAGGCGGTGGTGCTGTTAACCTAGTTTCTACCAACAGAGCTGAAATGATCACAGGTCCCAATAATCCCATCCTGAATGGCGACTGCTCTGGGTACACGCCACAATGGCTGCAATAGGATGTTGCCGCTGTCTGTGCTTGTTACTATGGCAACGTATTTCAATTTCAAACGCCTCACCTGGGATCACGAGGTGGAAGCGGGGTCACTGCTGTCAGGCAAACATCTGACAACGGCATCCATTCTCTATGGCAGCACCTGTGGGTGTATCAAGAGACTTCCTTTGGAGGAGGCCGCTCGACCGACTCTCTACCGACTACACATGAACAATGGTTACGACTGACATCATCGGAGCCCCACCTAGTGATACCCTACTGATGTAAAACCTCCTGAGAGTGATTTAAGGCCAACTAGTGAAAGAGAAAAAAGAAATCAGAAAGAGAGAGAGAGAGGAAAAAAGATCACTTTGATCAGTGAGTCATTTCAAGCATCTACTATACACATGATGCAGGGGTATGTACACATGACCGGGGGTTTGTACAGTGACGGAGTAATATGCAGTTAGTGGGCCACACTAATGAGCAAGAGAAGAGTATGTTTTCCAGGAATGGCAGGTCAGCAATATGGTGAAGGCTAACTTTACAGTGCAAGGGCAATAAAAAATGACTACTGTCAAAAGAAGCATTAGATATATTGAATGTAAACACTAATATCAATACCATTCCTCCTAAAGGAGAAACCATTACAATACATGCACACATGTACACACACACACTCGCACACACACACACACACACCATTGTGCTTAGGGTTCTGTTTCAGATCAGAGCAAAAAGTCAAAATCAGGCAAACACACTTTCATGTGAGACTGACGATTAGTGAAATTAAAGAGAATTTTATCATGAGAAGCAAAAGGAACGTGGACGGCTGCACTGCTGACACACACACACACACACACACACTCGCACACACTCGCACACACTCGCACATTCACCGAGAGCTGGCCGGGTTGCAGCTGAAGATCCCAGGTGTGATGGGGAGGAGATGTACTGTACACAGGGGTTTCCATGACATTGGAAGAGTGGGCGGAGCATGGGGCGAGAGGGGGCACCGGGCCAATCAGCGCGGGGAGAAGCCTGTTGCTAAGCTACAGCCAACCACCTGTGTCATGTCCCAGATCTGTGGAGACAAACAGCCAATAACAACGACAACAGAGGTTCTGCGTTACTATCGTTAGAAGTCATCAGCTGGTTCTAACAGAGGTGTTCAGGTTTGTCATCTGCTAGATTCAGGAGACATTTCACTGATCAGTTGCATCAAATTATGGGAGGGAAATAAACATGAATGGAAACCACAACAGAAGCTACACAATATTAAAGCAGCAGGTCTGTTACCCCTGTAGGACTGAAAGCTTTCATCGTGGAAAATCCAAAATGGTAACAGAAAACTTTCAAAGACTCTTGGCAGCATCCTCTATTTCTAAAAAACTTCCATTAATTTAATTGTTTGGTGAATTAAATGTATTCAGCTTTGGTTTATGTACTGATATGGTTTGTTTTTCAGACACGAGTTAAAACCTCTAAACTGATCTACCTACTATCACAGAGGAGCAGCGAACCCTCACTACTGAGGAAACACGACAACCTTTAAAGACTCTGCTTGAAAAAGTACTCAAACCTCTGAACCTCACAAAGTTGCTGGAAGCTTCCAAAGGCATGTGTTGTTTTGTATTTGTTATATTTAATCACAAAAATGACACCATTTATCTGCCAGAAACTGTAAAGGCTGAAAGACATATTGGATTTTCAACTTCCAACAACTTGTCCTCACTTCTCCGAGAACTATAATCTGTTGGATACCCATAGCTTGGTGTAAACTCGAACTCTGAACTCAATCTTCTGAGAAGAGAGTTGGAACAGTGACGGAGAAGCCTGAATACTTTCCTTAAAAACGTCAATCTGAAGAAGAGGCTGCCATGTGTTCTGTGACATGACAAGATAACGCTGTAGCATCTGCTCATTAAACAGGTCAATGGACCAAATCAGCAAGAACAACAACAACAACGAACTTCTTGTTTTTCCCAAAAGCAGGAAGTTGTTGTGTTTGTAAGGCTCTGACGTCGGCTAAACAGCAGCTTAAGGTTTTGTAGGACTGCTCGTAATACATTCTCATTTCCTTAAAAACAAAAAAAGAATCTAAGCAGCTTCAAATAAGTGACACTGATTTGATTAGCTTTGGTTTGATTTTTGCCTCAAAGGCTCTGTGTGTCTGACGCAGCCTGATCACATGCATGAATTATCTGGCATCAAAGAACTGTTGTTGCTGACCTTAACAATGCGGTCGCTTCCACAAGTGACCATCAGGCCTCTGGACGGGTCCATGTCCATGTGTGCGATGTTGTGTTTCCCCTCGTGGAAAGTGGCCAACGCTGTCCGACTGCATCGCGCACACACACACACACACACATAGACACACAATGAGAGCATTTGATCAGAGTTGCCCTCAGTACTCTGAAAACAGCACCATAACGGAGGCAGTTATTACCAAACTTAGCTCTGTACTCACTCTTCTTCCTTGATGGTGTCGAAGCAGGCGTCACACACCCGCACAGGGAACTCGAAGCCCATGATTGGGAACGTGGAGCGTTTGGAGCTACATTTTCCACACACAGCTTTGCCGCACTTCCTGCAGTGGTGCTGCACACAGGAGACACACCTGTGTAAGAACACCACTAATTACAAGGAACACCTGAGCGCACCGGTCAGACTCTCCTACCTGTCTGAGCCCCAGAGTCTTCGTGTCCCACATCTGCTTGATATTCCAGAAGAAAGGCTGCTCACACTTCTGACAGGAGTCGCTGTCTAACCACTGAGGCGCCTGCAGAGACACAAACAGTTGGAGGTTACATTTAAATATGCAGAGACGTTGCCGTGCTGCCCATTGAATCAGTGAGCAATGGTGGCCAAATCATCTCTAAATGCAGAGGAGAAGCACAACTCTAAACCAGTTACAGTCAAGCTCTAATAGTAAAGAACAAAAAACAGTCTGCAAAACAACTTGACTTCATGTATGTGGCTGTCACTGCTGTGTAACCGTGACTCAGACCTCTTCTCTCTGTGTGTCCATGTTCCATACTGCGATGCCCCCATCGGCTGAGCACGAAACCAACTGCCTCGTCAGCTGGAGGTAACGCAGGGACTGAACACGCTCACTGAGGGAGTAAAGAGACAGTTCGTTAGTCACTCTTAGTTCCATCTTTCCATTTTGAAGAGGCGAGGACTGTGTGGTTTTATAAAAGCTGCTCTTACAAATGTTCATAGATCTCCAACAATAAAAAACAACAAAACAAACAGATACTGTCCACGAGCTGCCCAGAAGCAAACTACAGACAAACCCAGCAACAAGCTGATGAACATGCTGGAGCTGTGGAGACAAACCAGGGTGTTTTCGGCACATGGAAATGGAAACTTAAAGGAGCTACAGTTCACATTTCTGGATTTGCAATGGCTGAAATCACTACTTGGGATGTAGCACTGCTGTCTCCAGGTCAACTGTTTGGTCTTTATGCTCTCATCCAACCAGATTCTGATTGGTCAGACAGTCACCAGTGTTGCTCTCCTAAGATGAAAACCACCACATCAACAGCTTTTCAGGAATAATCCTTTATTTTTGGCGAATGAAGGAAAAGACTCCGTTTGAACAAAGCCACGTTCTAATGACTTAATGAAAACGGTCTCGTCTGGTTTATTTAACATGCAGGCAGAATGCCCTCAGTGCGCTGAGGCCCGTTTAGCTCGTCTGGCTACAACATGCAGATTTTTCTTTACCCTGCAACCAATCCATCAGACCATGTCTTTGACTGACTCCCGCCATCGTGGCATGAGACTGCAAGCCCTGTTCATAGCAGCTGCAGACGAGTGTTTCCACACAACAGTGCATTCATTACCTTCAAAACGCTAAATAGCAGTAAAACGGTTTAGCAGCTAACTGGTTAGAGGCTGAAGACATTTTCCTTTAACAGAGTTTAAAGGGGGAACGTTATTGGCCTCCATCAGTGGACAGAAACAGATTAATCGTAACTTGGAGTCTGTTGACATACAGACAAACCTGTTATCTCTATACGCTGTACAGTGGTAGGTGTGTGTCTGCCAGTTTGTTCTGATGGCCTACAAGTGGTATTACTGCTGACTTCATGAGCACATAAAGCACCACAAGACTGAAAGAAGCAGTGCAACAACACGCCCACATTGTTAAGTTGATGGACATTTTCTACAACATCAAATACATTCGCTGATTCCCCCACACATTACTGACTACATAGAATTAAGTCTACTCTTACTACATTAGTAAAATGGACGAGAGGAGAAGAAAAACAGAAGAACAAAGACACAAGTGGGGCTTAAGAAGAGATCTAAACAGGATTTAGGACCTGTCAGCACTACAGCAGCATTACAACTGAGAGACAAGTGTCTGTAAATCCTGCACGGGCGAAACAGGATCTCCGCTCTGACACGCATCAGTATACATGGGCTTTGTTGATAACTCCTGTAACTGGGGGAGGGGGACTGGGAGGCGGTGAAATATGTATGAAGACAGAGGAGAGGAGATAAAAACAGTGTCAGCCGGTGCCTGGGGACAGCTGTTACTGACACCACCGAGACCTGCCTCTGACAAGACAGCGTGGAGATGAGCGTCACACTGTAGATAAGACACTGTTGTGCAAAGAACTGACAAAAATAGAGACGTAGAAGCTTTTCTTTCCTGAGGAATCTGCAGTAGAAGGTCACAGCCTTTCACTGATTTTTTTCCCAATCCCTACTAAACACAGAGTGAAAGCAAATCCAGCAGCTATGCATGTATGTAAGCAACACTGCAGAACTCACTGATGTCCCTGCAGCAGTAGCGTTCGTCCTTTGCGGCCCCCGATGTCCCACATGATGACACTGTGGTCGGAGGCCCCCGAGAAGAGCAGCCTCTGGACGGGGTCCCACCACAGCGTTCCTATGCTACCTGTATACAAAAGAAAACACAGTTGTGACTCATGTTGGTGTGCTGCTGAGATCCTGTTCAGGGTTATGGTCTGACATGCTGGCGCCACCCAGTGACAGCTGGGAGAACTGCAGGCAGCCCCAAACAAACACCTTAAACCTTCATATTAATTAATTTAACAAAACATTTGTTTAATGTAAGGCTACTTAATGCCAAGGTCTGAGCACTATGAGCTTAAAGTATGTTATTGATGGAGCAGACACTTTAGATTTAGAAAGAGTTAAAGGACTTTTAGCTCAAATTTAACTGACTCCACGTTGAGGAAGTGTTGAAAACACGTCCTTCTAAAATGTCTATTAGTATCAGCTACGAGAAGCTAGTCTGACAAAGACAGAAGTCAGCTCTGAGTGGGAAATCATTTCTTACCTTGTTGCTGGTTAGCTCTCTGACTAAACTGAAGCGGTTACTTTTGTTATTTCAAACACTGTGAACCAAATTTAATCTGGTGCCTGAAAACCCACCACAAAAAGTCTGTAAAGTTAAGGGATGCAAAGTCCCTATAGGCCTCTATCTAAACGAATGCAGAGAGACCCATACGTGCATGTATAGAATAACATGTTGTTTAACTGACCTAAAACCTACACTTACAAATGCAAACACTTGATACTTCTTTCCTGCATTGTGTAAATAAATATGTACTTTTGTTACAGTACCTGCTGAAAGTACCTGAATTGCAAGTCTCATAAAAAAGTCTCAGATTTTCAACAAAGCTAACTTGCAATAACCTAACTTTTCAAAGCTGCAGAGGAAGAATAAAAGCTCTTGTCATATGATAGGAGGTGGTGGAACGGTAGCTTCGTAAGCCACAGAGCAGCCACAGATGCATACAGAGTGCTATCCAGTGATGGAATCCTGTCATCACGCCGGCTTTTAAATGTCTCGACTTCACTTTACTGCAAAACAAAATTAGCATCATGTATAAAAATGTCTACAGTCTAATCTATTGGTGATGGGGAAGTTGTTGTACATTCAAAAGTCCAAATCTGTAGTTTGGACATTACCATAAATCTACAGCGAGCAGCCAGTTAGCTTAGCATTGTGAAAAGCGCTGGAAACCAGGGGAAGCTAGTCTGGCTCTTTAGACTTTCAGTATGAATTAAACAGCTAAAATATAACATGTCAAGTACATATCTGTGAAGATGAGTGGCTGCTGGCTGCAGCGTCACATTTACCACACAGGATTAACACCGTCCTATCATTCCAACGCACATGTTTCCCAAAATGTCCAGTGATTCTTGTTACCAAAGGAAAAGCTTTGATGTGATCCTGACCTTTTTGTTCTGTTTTCCAATTTTGATTGATCATAATTTCCATTAAATATTTGGTGCTTTCCTTGTGCACAGCTTGAGCCCGGCATCACGCCCATTAATATGTATTACCATCTGTCCAATTAATATGCATTTGCTGAAGCACCAAAGCACATCTGCAGATCAAAGGGAGAGGCAGGAAGTTTGAAACTGTATGAGTGTAGGGGTTTGTATTTTTTTTTTGTTGTTTTTTTTTTTACATTTTCCAAAATGTTGTAATTGGGAAGGGTGCCCTAACATGTCTGTTCCATCTGGCTGACCTGCAGGCACTATGACCGTGGTAAAAATAGGCTTTTTGACTGGTGGAGATCGTCATCTGGTCAGATGAGTCATCCCTGCCTTGTTCTCAACCAGCTCATGAGCTCATGTGTGATAAAAGCCCACAGAAGAAGACAGCAAAGTGTTTGTTTCACACACTAAAGTGTCCCGGGGGCTTTTTTTTTTTTTCTTTCCTGCTATCCACTTTCTTGGCACAGCTGCAAGGACGCTGAACCTCTGAATAAATCTCATCTGAGTCATGTATTTATACTCTGATTATGCATTTCTATCGTGATGGGAGAGGGTTTTCCACAATGACAACATTCCCCACACTGAAGGGCTCAAATGGCCACTGAACGCCCTGATGAGCGTGAAATGTGCACAGCTGCCAGAGCTCCTCCGAAAAACAAGCAGTGATGGGAATTTGTAGAGCAGCAAGTGAGATGGCATGTTCCATCATCATCATCATCATTCAAAATGGAATTGGAAAATAATTGCTTTCCACCAAGAGAGTAAACATCAGGTCCATAAGGCTTTTGGAGCTTAGCTGTATGTATGCAGACTCTCTATTTTTGCAGGTTTTCATGGTTTTCAGGCCAAATAACTACTGTCTGTTTACACCTCCTGTGTGCCAGTCCTGTCCCAGAGCATGCTAGACTTCCCTTTTGTGTAGTTGCCTATTTGTTTGGTTAGCGAGACAGATTTACTGCCTATGAGTAGCTGTGACTGGACACATGCAGGATGTCGTGTCACACATGGTTGCTCGTCTTCTGCCTCTTTAACCCTCCGACAGCAGATCAGGATTCAACACAGCAAAATCACTGCAGCTCCACCACCAGCCTGCTGCCTGTCTCTTCCTTCAAGAGTCTGGAACAAACAGGCAACAGGCTGATGTGACGGTGCAGAGTCCCGTCCCACCGTCTCTGCTAGCCTCAGCACCACTTCCTCCTCTGCAAACTCTGACTAACACTAACACAGCACAACAACAACAGCGTAAGCGTCACGCATCGTCGTGATATTCGCTGTTTGTCATTTTCTTGTGAGAGAATGACTAGTGTGTGAAGTTCAGTGTCGACGGAGGGAGCATGTACGTGCTGATTGTGAGCTAAAATTCGTGTTCAGTCCTGCTCACAGGGACATGGGCACCATTTAAAATGATGTGTTTTTTAATGCATTTTGGTATTTCGTTGAAACACAAACACAGATGTAGTTTTTAGGAAAGTCCAGCGCTGGTGTGTAGACGTGGATGGAGTTTTTGTCTTCTGATATTAGTAACTCTGCTGTCTGCAGACATGACCGACCCAGAGCTGGTGCTGTCTGCACTGACCGGACCGTGTCCAGGCTCATGCACATAAATATGTAGTTGCTGTTCCACTATGTTGAGGAACAGACGCGTTACAATCAGTTAACACACATGATTCCCTCCTTCCTGCTCATGTTGGTATCCTACAGCAACCAGTGACAGATTTTTTCAGGCTTCTGATGAACCAACATGGCTTTAAGGTTTATGTCAGCAGCTGTTGTTCTGGCTCCTTACTGGGCTTCAACCGTGTGTTCATGTGGACATAGTTGAACAAGGGAGGAAAAAGTTATTTAAAAAAATAACCGTGTCAGTCTGGACTGAAGACAACCGTCCAGTTTATGTGGAGTTCAAAGTGAAACTGATGTTTAATGAGTAATAGTGAGTCTTCAGACATTCTAGTCTATATTAATGTAGCGTGATGTGGCAGCTGAGAGGCTTTACTGGCAAACTTTCACTTGTTAAATTAATACAGACTGAAACCAGCAGAACCCTGGATGGTAGAAAAAATCCATCCAACACTAAAGCACCATGAGCAGGAACTGGAAAAAGGTCAGTAATGTAACCGACAGGCTGATATGGTCCTTTAACCCTGACTCATTAACACTGACCGGGAGTCGTTTGATCGAGTAAAACGCATTTCTGAAAGTTGACAAACATTTAAAAGCTTTTAGGGAAATGACAGAGCGTTTGTCTGCATATTAGATTCAATATTGGATTAAATGGGTCTTTTGTGCTCCTACATAATCGAGTCATGTGGAGGAATCTGGGTCATTGCTGCTTTTATGTTTGAGCATCGGAGGTCTGTTTTCATGCGGAAATGTGCAATTATTTGCGTCGTTGCCCTGTGATTCACCTACGCGCTGAGAAGACTACGTGGACGACAGCTTGTGTGCCTTTACCTTCGTGACCCTTCAGTGTAGTGATGGTGGAGTACGTCTGCTTCTCCAGCTTCAGCAGAGTGATCTGTCCTGAGTAGTCGCCAACAAAGGCGTGTTGCGTCTCGTGATCGTATCTGAGCGAAGAGTGAAGGCTTGAAAGGGCTCTACGTGTTACTACTTCCTGTATGCTGCACGCAGACGGTGAGTGAAGGATACTGTAGGCAGGAGGCCCAGGCGGTGAAGTAGTGTCTCCCCAGCATGCTGCCGCTCTGGGTGCACATCCAGCTCACGCTCTTGTCGTGGCCGGTGCTCACCACCCACTCGCTCTCCAGGGAGAACACCATATCTGACACACGGTTCTGGTGTGCTGCAAAACACACACACACACACACATTCATATAATAAGCGTTAGCAGTGGATAAACATCAAAGAAGATTGCATTTATTCCGTCGTGGATGAGCCACATCTAAGACGAATTTGCCCCGTCTGTGTGCTGATCCCATCACAGGCTCTGCTTAGTGTCTGTGTAATCCAGACTAAGACAGACGGATCCCTTCAGACGATTTGTATTCCCATCAGTCTTAATGGTCCGTCTTCCGATCACCTCTTAGTGCACGCATTTGTTTTTAAATTTCTGTGGTCAGCGTCTTCAGCTTTGAGCCTGGGCAGGGCTGAACTCCTTCTGAAGCGCTGCATTGCTCTGAAGACCGTGAGTCACTGCTGATAATCAACACACACTATGAGCAGGTGAGCTGTTTTTTATGTTTACAGCTGCACCAGCTGATATTTTGGCCACAGTGGGCAGCGTAACAACACAATAGCATCTGCAAACGTCGGCTTCATTTCATGTGGAGCACAAACAGAGCATCACTAGCCTTCATCTAAGGCTGACATTTAAGGGAAGACTTCAATAAAAGCTCCACTATGTTTCTAAACTTGTCATTAACTTTGTCTGACTGCTGTTCAGCTCTGGGCAAACACATCAAGTGGATTTTTTTACAGAAACATGTTAAATAAGAGCAGCGGGAGTGAACCGACAACAGCAAAGCTAAACATGGAGCTTAAAAACAGAACAACACTACACAAAGCAGAGAGGAGCTGCTGAGCTGCTGGTTCATCAATACCAGCAGCCTCTTTAACATTCTGTGCAGTTATTTCAGTCATTGCCAACACAAAGATACCGATTATAGCCACTTTAAATGCAATCAAATCAGTTTCTTAATCACATGTTCATGCAGCCACTGCAGCTTTGTTCACACACAAAAAACTATTTTTCCAACTTACTAGCAACTTATAAGTGAGACTTTAAAGGAAAAATCAGCTAAAAATGATGGCTGCAGTGTGAAATAAGACATTACATGCAAACTGCACTGAGAGAAGAGCTCCACAAGTCATTATGGCTGAGAGTAATTTAAAGCATGACTAATAAGCACAGCTCATACGGGACTCAGCTCTGTCTAAAAATGCACTAGATCAATGATTTTTTTTTGTCTTGACCGCCCTCTTGTATTTTACTGCCAGTGGCCACGGATAGAGGAGGACACGTTGATGTTCTCTGTCCTTTTCCCTGCGCCATTTTTCTAGACTTTCTTTAAAGTTTGGTTTAGTTTCTGTCTTCCTTAAGAGCAGTGAACACGTGAACTAAAGAAACCATTTCATCCCATAAATCCTCCCAGTCTGCTCTCTTACAGGCAGTAAACAGCTGCTGTCCTCTGTGTCCCATTATTGCTTTTTCACTGCTCGTCTGCATCAAGTCACAAAGAGAACGTTCACATAATAATAATACAACACAGACTTTTCTTAGGAATAATCTGACATCCAGAGAGGACAGCTTTTCATCATTCTGCCATAACAACCTATAACCAGACTCAACATATGCGAGCTGTTTTTGAGATGAAACGAGATGTAAAAAAACAAACTCTTCTGCCCGTAACTCTGACGAAAAGAGAAAAGTTCAACTCTGTGTGTCTTTGAAGTGCAAAGACGCATTCTAACGGCCATTTGATCCCACTGTGAGTCATGTTTCTGCCTTTTTGGGCTTCATTTTTTTTGCTACAAGTGGTAGAAAGCAGATGGGAGTATTGCAGTGGTGACATGTGGTGTTTTGCCCTTGTAAGCAGCAGGCTGGCTATCTGCCCCTGAAACTTGATTTTCCACCGAGGAGGCTAAATAGCTGCTGATACAGTCACAGGAACAGAGGGCTGTTCATGAAATGAAATCAAGATGTAATGACTGTGCGAAGATGCCTGTTTGGGCTGCACAGTCTCCATATCAATGAGCAAAGAGGGGATATTTCCTACTACACTTGAACCTGTCTGCGCAGTTTAAAAGCTAACGCATGGTGTTTAACTGTCTGGCTTTATGCTTTATGGTTCTTTGTTGTGCTTGTATCGTACACATGCACTACACAGTCCTGCCATAGATATAAAGATACGCCATTGGCTGCTGCATGGGAAAGGAAACACGTCTGTCTGTTGGGTGAGAAGGACAGAAACGTTAAAAGAAGTTTTGATGGTTCACAGAAAAGGTCCACAGAGCCCCTTTAAGAAAGGTTAAGTATCCAGGGCCACATTATAATTAAACATAAGCGCATGTAAAATCTACTGGTCCACTGACAGCACAGAGCACTTCCTGTAGCACGTTACTACACGAGAGACAAAAACTTCAGCTACAATAATAATCATAATCAAAGGGAATATCAGAGGGTTATCAAGAGCTATCAGCTTTGATGTTTCAAGGAAAATTAAACTTGTTTTTTTATTTTATGGACAGTACTGTTGTTCACTTCTTTGCTTGACCCGATTGCTCGTTACAGATAAAAATTTACAGCTGTTAGTTAAAGTCTCCTGGGGTTGGGTGGGGCCACCTCTCTCCATGGAAACACACCGATCAAACGCACAGTATAAAACCTTTTAATTCAACAATACGACTGTGATCCATTAACGAGATCAATAGTGTGTGTGTGTGCATATCCACTGAAAGCAAACTGTACTTCCTTCACTCGTTACTGAGCCTCATACACAGTTCAGCATTTACACTGGCCTTGACCTGTTTCACAATCTCACCTGGATATGTTTTGACGTGGTTCATCTTGTTGAAATCTTCAGAGATGAGAAACTCCTACAAGACAAGCAAACGAACACACAAATAACTAGTTTAAAATTAAATAAGCACCGTTAGCCTGCAGCTATTTGGAGAAAGCCAAATATTGAAATTTAAACCGGTTATGAAGGTTGTTTTTATCCCAACTTAAGTGTTTGAACAACCAAACTGGTGAGCCTGAAGCGACAATATGAAACCGTCTGCGTGTTCAGCTTCTCTCACCACAACGGCTCCGTTGTCCTGGCCGATGAAGATGCGTCTGCTGTCGTGGTGGTACGACATGCAAGAGCATGGAGCTAAAGGAGAAATAAGGAGGTATATGAGTGGGGACATCAGTATGCACAGAGGCTGGCATCACATGGCTTTAGTGATCTTTTTTATTTGCAAACACCAATTCAGAATTCCTTTTCCCAGAGATGCAACGCAGCGTTACTTACAGGAGACTGTGTGGTAGATGCTCGGCCAGTACTGACCGCTGTCTCTCTTCAGCCACACCCGGATGGTTCTGGAGGACAGAGTCAGAAACATCTCGTTTATTAATGTCTGCGTACCACAGACAGTCAACGGTCATCCTGTAGACCAGCATTTATTTCATTCCTTTTAAATACAAGCTATATCTTTCTTAATGGGAACAGTGAATGGACATACCCATTTAATAAAGCCTTCAGCTTAGACTCATGGGAAAGCTATGACTGCCTTCATACTCGACTCTGTTCATTAAACTGGACTGTGCACACATGCTTTGTGCACATCACAGATGGAACCACATTTCAGAAGTGGTGATTCAACACTGAACCACTTCTGAAACTGTACTTTGAACGTCTATAAACTTGTGGTACTTCCTTAACACAACAAAGCACTTCTGACCCTAATCGGATCATTATCCTCACAACAGACTACAACACTGTACGGTGCACATTCAAACCCAGCAAACCCTCAAAATGACTGTGAATCAATGATCAGGTGAATTTCAAATAAGATTTCTTCCATTTTTTTTTTAGGAAATCCAGCTTTTAGTTTCACTCTTATTTTAATAAAAGGTCTTAGCTGCTGTTTCAGTGAACCATCAACACACAACTTCTCCTTTTTCTTTTTTTTGCATCAAGTAAGTTAGATGTGTGATGGAAGCTGCATCACGTTTCTTCACCAAGTTCCTCTGAGGGGGGATGTTGCGTCTTGGTTACTGAGCCTGATGCCCTTACGACACTTCTACCCCAGTGATGGGCTGATATGACAACGCTTACACATTCACAGCTGCCTTTATTTAACTCAAGCCAAAGTGAAATCATAACGTTGCTGCTAGCTACAGGTTTTTTGTGTGTGTGTGTTGTTAATCAGTCCAGAAGGCCACAACAAAAGGATTTCCTCTGATCCCCAGCATGTGTAGGTGTGATGTTCACAGACCACAGTCACTGCAACAAGTGCTAATCAGGCGTAATTTACATGCAACGCAATGAAAGAAACCACAAAAACGAGCAGCTACTGACTTAAATGTCCACCTAGTTTGTTTACTTATTTACACAGGTGACCAGAAAATGATATTTCTACTTCAGAGCTAAAGCGTTTCATGAAAAGCCTTTGCAACAACGAAAACAAAAAAAAACGAGGTGCACTTGAAGGCAGCAAGTGGTCGGTTAGACAGAGTTGACGGCTAACTAGCTAAGTCAACCTGTTTAAATACGGTTAACTCTATAAATTAGCGATACAGAGTAAAAACAAATGTTAGTTTCTCCGTTTGCTATCACACTTTGCCCTTGAATATTTGACAAAAGCGACTCATTCTTGGTGAATTTCTCTCCCCCGCAGCCTCCTCCTCTCTGCCGGACTCCCAATGTGGGACAGAAAACCACAATCGGTCCTCCTCGGAGCCAAACATGTTGCTTCTTCTCTTTCATTTCGGTCCCCTAAAGCCTGCTGCGCCAGGCGTTAGCCGCGCGCCGGCCAGCATATAGACGGAGCCCGCTAGCTACTGTTATGCTATCGTTAGCCTGCTCGGCCAACTCACCTGTCCTCGCTCACGGTGATAACTCCATCTTCTTTGGGTATTAAAACGGCCGCATTGACGGCGTCTGAGTGGCCCTCGATCTTGTTGAGGAGGACCGGCCTGGCGGTCTGGGGCCTCGAATGAATCTCCGCAGCCATGGTTTGAAGTAGCCAGCAGTGTTTTCCTTCAGCTGATTTTCCTCCTCACTCGCCAGTGAAGGAGGATCAGCTGACACCCGGAGCCGCTGTCAGGATTACCGTAATGGCCGCCAGGGTGCGCAAAAACAAACCCGCACCGCAAACAACGGCACGGAGCAGAAGGAAGGCCGTATAACCTGTAAGGTGAGTGGTCAGCTCCAGAGCAGAGGCCTAAAAAACAATAATAATAAAAAAAAACATGGGAAACCAGAAGGATTAAGAGTGTAACACACGGATACTAATATTAGTTTTTTATTGTCTTCTTTAAAGCGTGCAGAACCACACACTGATACTGATCAATCAATCAATCAGAGTTTATTTCTATAGCATTTTTCATACAAACAGAAATGCAACACAAAGGGCTTTGCAGAAATTAAAAATACAATAAAACAATACAAAAATAGTCAAGTTATCAGTAACAGGACTCCAAGACACTGGAAATGAAGAACTGAGGACACACCATCCTATTTAACATGGGATTTGTCCACCAAAATGAATGACAAGGATCTGGACACCAATAGAACTTCCATCCATCCATTATCTATACACTGATTAATCCTCACCAGGGTCATGGGGGGCTGGAGTCTATCCCAGCTGACTCAGGGTGAAGGCAGGTTCACCTGGACAGGTAACCAGTCTATCACAGGGCTACACTTAGAGACAGACAACCAAGCACACTCACATTCATACCTACGGACAATTTACAATCACCAATTAACCTCAACGTGTTTTTGGACCTTGTGCACGGAGAGAACATGCAAACTCCACGACGAAAGATTCCGGTGCCCCCACCAGGACACGAATCGGTGACCTTCTTGCTGCGAGGCAACAGTGCTGCGCCACCCCAATAGAACTTGCAGTAGAATATTCAACTTCAGTTTTTTTTTAGAGCTGTAATTGAATATTTGACAATTGAAATTTCAACTTCAGAGTTGAAAACATTACAGTTTAAAATAAGAATTGGTATCACTACTTTCAGAGCGGTAACTTTTCATTCTAGCAATCTGAACTGAAACTGAAAAAGTGAATTTTTCAGTGTTAGAACTGAAAGGTCCAGTTGGGGAAGTGCAACTTGAAACTGCAGACCTGGATCTGATCAAACCGTCACCAGTAGTCACTCAACGACTCGGTTCAGTTCAGCTCGGTTGGACAGGATAGAGTAACAGCAATAGGAACATCAGTACAAGATCTATTTTCAAGATGTAGGCGCGATATATCATTTACATGTATGTTAAGTTGTGGCACGCTGACACAGACTGGCTAGCAGGATATCGTCTGTCTCCTTCTCAGAGGATTATTTTTAATTTTGAGAGCTCACAAAGTTTTAAAATGACAGAGTGGAACTTGCCAATGTTCCTTATTTCATTGAATGATTTACACTGTAGGAGGAATCTCTGGCTAAACCTCACTTGTCCAACAGTAACCGTACATTCTGTTTTCTTTTGGTTGCCATGACATGAGGTCGCTGAGCCTGGACCTGGTTAAGATGCGTCTCTGCTTTCTGTCTCTGACAGTAGAGACATTTTCAATATCATCTACGTTGAGGGCCAGACAACGTTCTAATCTACTTTGGCTTTCAGTTTCTGCTTCCCATGTGTTCTAATAAGTTTTCTTTTTTTTTTTCTTACGTTGCAGTATAATTTGGTTTCCTCTGACGGCTGTTTGGAAAGCAGTGCTGCTGTGAGACGGCTCAGAGTGTGTCTGAGAGGAAGCTTTTCATATCAGCACCAACTGACACGGGGAAGTGTTTTCTGGGCTCAGCTCTTGGGTTTGGAGGGCAGTGATTACAGTGATTAAAGAATGTGAGTGCTGCCTTTTGAATGTTAATCATCGGTGGGTATCTGCAGAGTTCTGCTCTACATGCATTTGGTTTTTTTCTGTTTCCAAGCAAGAATCAAAACTTCACAGTTGTACAATTCTTCAACTGCAACTTATAAAATCCTACTGTAAAATACCAGTATTGTTAATTAACAGTCTAGATCTCTCAATCAACATTTCTAAAAAATATATATTCTGAATTTGTATTTCGTTCCAAATATGGTAAATCTAATTGTCCTCATTCTCTAATTTGGCACCAGTTTAAATCAGTGTTGTGGCGAGGCATGTCATCTACAGAACATGACCGGCTTTCCTGATGAACTTCATTCAAACTCTGGCCTCATGACCTTTAAGGAGCTTTAAAAACACACGAGTAGACTCAAACAGAATAAAGACCGAACGCATCGTTGGAAATCAATGATTTTTACTGACATCTGCAGGTGAACATGTTATAGGTGAAAAAAACACAGTACTTCACACATCATATGCAGGCTTGTCATGTCAGAAACACCATCACAGAAAATAATTAAGGCAAAATCACTGATGTTATAAATATGTGTATTTTTTTTTTCCAAATGTGAAGCAAGTATGAAAACAAAAGATCTCCTCAGTCAGGGAAACGATCACTTTAACGTAGCTGAATGGAAAGTTTTCAAGATGGGATGTGCATGTCCATAACTTAGGAGTAAAACTTAATACAGACTGGAGTTACATGACTTGAGAGGGAGAACTTTCAACTGAAACAGTGACATGATAAATAAACTGATTATCCTACTCCAGATTTGAGAAAATACACAGTTGACATTCAAAGTCTTTTAAAAATGTAATAAATTCAAAAAAGTATACAAAAAAATTAAAACAGCTGGAAAATTTAGTCTGCAAAACATTTTATACAGCATGTTATGCATTACAGAAAATGGGGAACATAAAAAGCAATATTTAAAACAAATAACATCATATGTCCACATTGTACATAAGTCTACAGCAAAGTGTGTTCGTGTGAACGTGGGTGTGTGTTCATGCGTGGCAGTGTGTAAGCGTTTCCTGTGCTGGCAAATGATGCTGCCGGGGGATGGCCAGCGCAGGCAGGCCTCAAGGCTGGTTGATCTGGCCCATGAAGAGGATGGTACCTGTGGACAGACAGGGGAGATGTTGGTGATGCTTCATAATGAACAAGGTTAACTGTGAGACACCAGCATCCATCCACTGAAGACACTCTGTACCTGTTGGGTTGTGTCTGATGAGGAAGAGGAAAGGCCTGTCCACGGTAACCCAGGGTGGAGAGGACCGCGCCAGCAAAATAGCAGCTAAACACAAAAGCAAAGCATGGTGAAAACGTGGCAGAAACCTCCAGCTATCGGCGCTCTAACACCTAAACACCAACGTATGAACAATTCTCTGCTCACACAAGCACACAGCTTTGTGTTGGACCAACAATATATTTATTTTCTGTTTTTAAGGTTGTGTTGACGTTAAAATATCCCTGTGCTTTGATAATAGATTAAATTAATTAAAAAGCTTCTTCCTACAAGCAATAAGACTGTTGAACTCAAAATAACCCACCACCAACGCTGGACCGACTCACTGTGCAATAAAAACATCATAATAAACATGTGCAATATGTGTAAGTATTGTATTTTATATAGGTTTTATTCAGAGGTTCTTTCATTTATATTTTCTACACCTTTTTTTAATACCTATTTATTACTTTTACACATATATTCCCTATTTTGTCTGTTCTTTTCTTTTCTTTTCATTGCGATATGCACTGTACCCTGTAAATCTGCAATGACAAATAAAGAAAGTCTAAGTCAAAATAAACATTAAATTAAAAATAAACATTGTTAGAAAGTAGATTACTAAAAACCATTAATAATTATGGATATTGGCTGGAATAAAAATAAAATTCTGAATAAATCTTTCAGCTATATTGCCCAGCTCTGCTTAAAACAAACGTCTATGTGATGAAGAAACACTCACTAGTGGCAGCTGCTGCTTTTGTTCCGTCCTCATTCACAATAATTTTGGCTTTCTGGAGCGCCTTGGATACATGCACAGGTTCAGAACCTAAAAAAACAACAACAGTTAATTCTTATGCATATAACATGCCATCTTTGCTGTTCTCATATTAATTAACTGAAGCTGTACACAGCCAACATGACCGACGTACTGTGTGTACATTTTTAGTGCAATAATATTGGACAGTGACTGAGGGTCTGTCCCAGTCTGCTGTGCATTACGCCACACGATGGCACCAGAGCAAAGTCCCATCTGTCACACAGACCCTGGTGGAGTTTTCATGACGTAATCCCACAAAACTCTGGAGCTCGTTTCACCACATGATGGCACTAAAGCTCTTTATCCACAGCTCTTCTCATTCCATCACTCAGGAAGAAGATGAAGTGCAAGAACGGGAACATCAGTGATTCACACTGAACAGCGAGACACCATTCATGCTCCTTTACCGACTCTCAGCAGTAAACAGCCAACAATCCCCTCATATTTTCAAGCTTTGCTCGCATCCCAGTAAACTGCTGTAAACACTGTGATGGTGCCCGAGGGCTTGCGTCACCGTCGGGTTTGCAGCGACTGTACTTTCACTCACTGAGGTGTCTGAAGTCAGCTTTGTCCTGACTGAACATGTCTGTTATTCCCAGCGCAGAGAACGGCGCCTCCAAATCTACCTCTGCATCAGCGGTGAACCTGCAAACACAAACACAATGTTTATCACATTCAAAACAACTGCTGTGTGTGTGTGTGTGTGTGTGTGTGTGTGTGTGTGTGTGTCTTACTTGGGAATGAGCAGGCGGATTTTCCTCATGTGCATCAGCTTGGTCCAGCTCTGCACCGTGGCGGTGCTGATGTGCGGGATCACGCGGGACAGAGGTGTGTCCTCCTCGGAGGGCAGGACGATCAGCATGCTGATGGTGTTGCCATGATAGGGCAGCTCAATTACCCTGTATTTGAGGTCCTGAGGCGTGGTGGCCATGCCTGACAGAATAAGAGATTCACAGGTTAGTAGTCTGGATGGATGACACAGAGTAGATGGAACTCATCAGTTTTCCTCCTACAGGTTTACTGAATCTGTTCAATCGATTAGAAAGGCATGCAGGTCTGATCAGCAACCTACAGCGCTGCTAAAACGTTTTCAAACCCGTATGAAGTTCTTCTCGTCTTGTGAGTGTCTC